AAGGGAAGAAGAAAGAAAGAAAGAAAGAAAGAAAGAAAGAAAGAAAGAAAGAAAAGGAAGAAGAAAGAAAGAGAAAGAAAGAAAGAAAGAAAGAAAGAAAGAAAGAAAGAAAGAAAAGAGAAAGGAAGGAAGGAAGGAAGGAAGGAAGGAAGGAAGAAAGGAAGGAAGGAAGGAAACAGGTTTTGTTACATGCTTTCAAAAGACACTTAAAGTAATACTCTTGTTACATCCAACTACCATCAGCCCCTTATTGAAGCATCTGAATGTCAGTTTTGCACCATCATAAAGCAGTAAATGAAGAGTCTCAGAAAGGGATGGTTAACAAGATCACACAACTGGACATAAGACAGTGAGGAGTGAAATCCTTTAGTTTATAAAAGAGAAAACCGAAGGATGCAGGATTATTTTCATGGGACTTGGAAGACAGTGAACCTCTCTACCTGCTTGCTTCATTATTAATGTTCAGAGGAAGCAAGATTTTAGGGGATAAGCTCTGTTCCACCTTTACAGGGAATAGGGTGTTCTAAAGTATGTCTTCAGATCAGCTCAATGATCATCTGACTTCAATGACTATCTGATTCTGTGCCAGGTTCTGTGCTGGGTACTGGTGCACACGGAGAAACTGGCATTATGCCTGCCCTTGGGCTTCAAAGTCTAGGGCTTTGAATCTTGGAGCCACAAAGGAAATCAGAAAAAAACAAAAAAACAAAACAAGAAATATAACTGTTTTAAAAAGACTAAAGCGCTGAAGGGGTTTTACATAAACAAAAATCAAGAGTGTCCTAGAAACCTACTATGTGCCAGGCTCAGAGTGTTCCAAAAAAAGGTAAGCAGTGACCAAGAAAGGATCGTTTCTTAGAAGCTGGGATTAATCTGAAGTAGGCACAGGGACTGCAAGGCAAGAAATCAGAGGGCTTGCAAACAGGCCAATCGAGGTGCATATATACCTGGCAACAATCCTGTTTCCATCTCAGAAGAGCCAGATAACATCGCTCGCTTCCTTCAAACTAGCATATGCACAACGCCGTGAGCGCCCTGGAAAAGAAAGTTGTCCCCTACAGAGATCACAGTACACATAAGAACTAAATATTTTGAATTAAATGCTGAAATTATAACACCCACAGGGAGACCAAGCACACGGCATGGAGTTGAAATTGGGTATCTTCCTGCACTGAGAGATTGCCCCTC